CACACACACACACACACACACACTGATCACCTCTCCCTCTAACCCTCTCTTCTGTCTCTGACAGATGTGAAGTCTCCGTGTGCGGATCGTTCCCATGGATATTTCTTCAAAACCTCAGACCTGATGACGTCACTCTGGAGCTGCCACACATGCAGGTAATTGATCAACTGACACGAAACTCTGAGCGACAACAACAACTGAGACACGTGACTGCTGTCACATGTTGACTTTTATATTTTTATGTTTCTGGGAGACAATGTCGAGTCACTGCTGCAGTAAAATAAAACACACACAGCGTGTACTACACACAAGAACCAGCTATAGGAGCCTTGAATATAAATATATATATATATTTATGTATTTTCACAGCTAAGTGAATTTCTCCTCAGCTGCGTCGGTAATGTGAGACTTGTGTGGAGAATCGTGACGTGTGATGCCCTTATCTGCCGGATCTCAGCGTTTAAAAGGCTAAATAATTTATTAAAACTGGGGCCGGGGCCCTCCGCGGGGACTGTGTATCTTTAAAGAAGGGGGAGCGGGGAGGAGGGGGGCGTTTAAAGGGAAGAAGGAGTTAAACGCCTCTGGCGAACAGCGCCGCCTCTGTGATTCCAGCCTAATTGACGACGACGACGGCTTTTATCTGCGCCTGTGCTGCACACTCCTCCCCGGGCTGAGGGGCTCCGAGCCGCCGGGCCCCGAGCCGCAGGTCTGGCGTTGTTACCACTGCATGAGGAGGGAGAACTCAATAGTCCTGGTCGAATATTTACAGCTGCCTGTATATATAATGTGTATATATATGAGTCATAAATAAGGAAATATATATGATATATGTTGTTATATTTCTCTGTCTGCGCTGCACACGATTAAAACTCTTCATGGATCTATTTTTTATTTCCTTTTATTTCCCAGATCACATGACCTACTGCTGAATAATCTGTTTGTAAATCTGCATATTTACATATTTACTTCTGTAAAAGTATCAGTGCAGCTGTGCTCCTTTCTTCTCCTTTCTTCTCCTCTGCCTTTTCCTGCCTTGTTTGATATTCGCATGGCTGACTGTGGGGAATGTGTTGGTGGAATTCATTCTGACATTTGGAGAAAAAAAGAAAAAAAAAAACCGAGCCAATTTATTTTGAGATGTAAAAACATTTTAATGCTAAAACACATTTCTGTATTCGGAGGCTCGGGTTTTACCTGAATATTTACTTTGTTGCACGTGTATGAATGGAAATTACTGCAGTTTTTAATATCACACATGTACATGTTGATATGACATGGAAACGTGGTATTTTTTAAAATAAATGTGTTTAAAATAGGAGAAATATGATGGTGTTCAGAAAATATATATTTTGTATATATATATATTTAATTAATGTCAATGAAAACTTAACATTTTTCTCTTCTTTTTCCTGAACCATTTTCCTCTTTTTAAATGTATTTTTTGTTTCCAATAAATGTGTTTTTATTTTTATTCATTTTCAGTGTGTGTGTGTGTGAGAGAGAAAGAGAGAGAGAGAGAGAGAGAACAACAGAGTGCAAATGTGGAAGATAAGAAGTGAAGGATAATCACGAGCTGTGTTTTAATGATCTTGGCAGGTTTTATGACTGTGTTTACGCTGCTGCAAAAATACACACAAATACAAATAATAAAGACACGGTGGTGCGTTCAAGGTGCGTCAGTTCACTGCAGTAATGTCATTGATTCAGGTAAAAAAACAAAAGACAAAAACCATCCAGTAATTCCCTGTCAGGTCGTCAGAGGGATGAACTAATAATGTAATGTTTCTGACAGTATTTGAGGTAATACTGTGTACTGGTATACAGTAAAACTGCATAATAGTATACCCTTTGTCCTGACGTTAGAGTCGGAGTAAAAATCAATAATTTAAAGAGTGAGTTTAAAATGAGTTCATGTTTGTTATTGAAGGTGTTGTTTATTTTAAAAACAACATTTAAATCAGTGTATGATGTAACACACAGTTGACCCCAGTTGTATGAAAACACACACACACACACACACACACACTCTCTCTCTCTCTTCAGGGATTAAAGTGTGTTTTTAATACAGATTATCGTTGGTAACTCTGAATCTGGGATTTTATCTCCACAGTTTTTTGTGGTTTTGGTTAAAAGTGTAAATCAGAACAGACCAGCTCTGACGGTCTGTGCTTTAACTGACGGAAAAGATGTCGTCACTAGGAAATTAAAGCCCCATCTTTGCATAAATTCAAACGTGTGTGTGTGTGTGTGTGTGTTTGCCTTTTAATTAGTGCAATAATTGTTTGTGCTGTGTTTGTGCAGGAGTTTGCCAGCAAACAAACGGATGCAATTAAACTCATGAGCCGTCAGATCATCAATGAGGAGGAGAGTCAAGACTGGCAGGAAGGAGACAAGGACGAATAAAAGACGAGAGAGAGGACAGAGAGGACAGAGAGGGAGGGAGGAGGGGAGGGGGCGGCGGCTGCTGCTGCTCCTGCGGCTGCTGCTGCTGCTGCTGCTGCTGCTGCTGCCTCTGGGTTGACTCACACCAGCTAAGATGTGTGAAGAGCTCATTTGCATACAATGTGGACACTTTGAGTCCTCACACACTCACACACTCACACACACTTTGCTCTTAAAGTTTTATTAATTTATCGTCACAACTTGTAGTTTTAACCAAACACTGATGAAGGATGATCAGAACCACTCATATATATTTACATATACATTATATGTTTATACATTTAATATTATATATTTTTAAATAAATTAATATTATAAATTTTAAAATGTTATTCTTTTTTAATGTAATTAAACAATGTGAACATCATCAAAAAAAATGTTGCACAATTTTATAAACTTGTTGAAACAGGCTCCGGCTCATGATAAATATATTTAACAGTACAGTCTTTATTTGTTGATGATGTAATTAAGGTACTTTATAGTATGAAGTATTCAACAAATAAAATATATATATGTATTTAACATTTATTTTTACACTACGTTATCCTTTTTATCCTGTTTTAAGAACATATATTTAGTCATACAAACCCATTAATCAATCTTATATATATATATATTTTATAGAAATATATTTAAAAAATATACTTCAAAATCCTCCTTCACATTTTTTACTGTACATCCAGAGGATGTGAATAAAACTTCAATGCAATGCATTACAAGGAATGACAATAATTCAAATATATAAATATATAAATGACATATTAAACCCAGTGCTAAATATATGAGAAATACAGTTACTGTACATGTGAAATAAAATACTTTCTCACCTCTGACACTTTGTGAACCCTGTATTGACAGACTAACATTCTGTGGACTCTCACCATCTCATTGAAAACAACCAAAGAATTGACCTTTGACCTTGGCCACTCTCATCTTTCTGACAGGAATGAACCGGAAACGACTGGACGGTTCTGACGTTCGCCCCATGTTTCGGTTCATTCCTGTAAATCCTTCAGTCTGTTGCTTCACCTAGAACTGTGTGAGGTGTGTGTGTGTGTGTGTGTGTGTGTGTGTGTGTGGTAAAACCTGCCCTGCAGACTGGACCGCTCAGGTCTTCAAAGGAGCACCAAGTGAATGCGAGGGATTTGTTCAGGCTTATTTGGTAACCTTGGATTTGAATTGGATTCTGGGAAGCATTCATAACACATTTGGAAATGTTGCATTGTGTGATTCGCTGCGTAATCCTCCAGAATAAATTTTCAGAAATGGTCACAGCACAAGTGGGACTATTCATGACTTATCAAATGTTTTCTCGTCTCGCCTCTCCGTGAGGAGGGGTGTGTGTGTGTGTGTGTGTGTGGGGGGAGGGGGGGGTGAGGGTCCGGGGAGTGACGGTTAATGTTGGTGTTTCTAACACACACTTCAACTCAACGCCGTTCAGGTAATTAGCCCTGATTATGGGACGGAGCCTGATGTTGTTCTGACTGAGGGATCGAACCCATGACCTACAGCAGAGATGTAAAACCGTTGGTCAGCTCCGTGAACACGAGCCGGGAAAAAAACAGATGATTTCAATTTGGAAATCTGAGGCGTACTACTAAAAATACTACAAAGAACGTGTCTGCAAAAGGGTTTTAGAAAAAAAGATACTCTGAAAAAGGTTTGTTTTTGTAGAGAAGATTCTTCTTCTCTGTTTTCAAAACATCAAACAAGGACGATGAAGAAACGCTCTGACGCTCCGACCCACGTCCAGGTCAGTACCCACGGTTTGAATCCCAAGTCCAAGTCACATGACATGTTGAGATGTTGTGATGTCATACTTCACTCTGTGTGTTCTGACTCCATCTCCTCCAACCGCAACAGCTACATCTTCTCAGTGAATCCAAACCTTGAACCTCTGACCTCCAGTTCAGCCTCCGATCCAAACGTTTTTGGCTCAAAATGAGGTCCAAAATCTGACTGGTTCAGTATTGGTTGGATGTGAAATGCCGGGTGAAATAATTCAAATAAAATGTAACAAAAATAAACGTTTCATTTCATGTCTAGTGCCATGTAGTGGCATCAACAGGAATTACAGTCGAATCGTTGTAATTCATGAAACTGAAGGATCGACATCGGCCTTTACCAGATCTGGAACCAGTGTTTGATCGGCCGGAGTAGAAAGCCCACGGACCATATCTGGCCCACGGGCCGTAGTTTGCCCTCATCTGCTCCAGTCTCTTTTCACACAGACCATCATATAAGGAGTTTTTATCTCCATTTTACCCCCCCCTGAAATCATAGAAAATATTTTAGACTTTGAAATCTGTCTTTTTCTTGAGAGAATAAAACATTATCGTTTTTTAATAGAAAAAAAAAAGCTAAAAAAAAGATGTTCTACAGTATGAATTATTGTAATGTTATATCTGGGGTCTGCAACACTCCCTCGACCAGAGCAGAACTCTGTGTGTGTGTGTGTGTGAAGCAGAGACAGTGTACTGTCCAAGCCCCACTTTGCTTTGAATGACACTTTGGCCAGGCC